AAAATGCCGCAGTAGAAGAAATTGGTAGAGCAGCAACATGGTCATCCTTATCTACTTTCATTCATCACTAAAATCAATGTCTACAACCCTGCTGATGCCACTTTTGGCAGGGGAATGCTACAGCATGTCTTAGAGGCTGATGAAGCTGACCGACCCAGTGTGAGGACACTGCTTTGAGAGTTCCCACCAAGATGTCCTCCTCTCAGGGGAGAATGGGCCATTGGGTACTTACTGTGAAGGGTCCTTCTCCTATGAGAGCAGGAGGACATCTTGTTCCTCCCATAAGCTTCACTGGTCTCCTTCTGTATTCTGTATCTACAGTGGTGTTTGGTTTCTTTACTACTTTCTGTTACTCAGTTCTATTCTTCTTACTGTATTCTTTCTCCTAGTTGTGTGTTCTCCAATTAGGAGCATTTAATTCTTACCTGAGAAAGCTGAGTCACCAACTGCTCAAGGGAGTTACCTGAACTGGAGAGTAGTGGGTGGTTCCCAGCAAGGAGACAGGAAGTGAAAGAGTTTGTTCCTGCCTCCCTTTTAGGAGGGGTTGGAATCACCCACCAAGATATCCTCCTGCTCTCAGAGGAGAAGGACCCTTCACGGTAAGTACCCAACGGCCCATTCCTTTCAAGTAATAGGATATCTAAATGATGGAACTAAATTCTGACTCTATTAATGTCTGTATTGTACCTTTTTGAAATAATTTGTGTTGGTTTTTTTAAAAAACAAACCACTGATTATCTGGTGTCATTATGCATATTTGTTTCTGCTGAGAATATGAATAGGGAAGGGCATAACCCCCGTGATTTTTCTTTTATGAAATTTTGTGGCTCCATATCCTACCTGTCAATACTTAAAACAACAGGTTTAACTGTCATGTTTTAACTGTCATACTTTCCCTTCCCCAGGAACCCTGGTGCTTACAGTTCTCTGGATAGGGTATGGATATCTCAGAGAATTCTAGGTTTTCATTTTAAACTATAGTTCCCAATGGTTCCTTGTGGTAAATAGTGGAAATGAAAGCTGCTATTATAATTATTACTCATATAATATCTCATATATGGACCTAGTAATGCTAGTAACTTTTAAAATTTCACTGTTTATTCCCATATTGCCTATGCGGGGCTGAGGATCCATTCAGATACCACAACCTGTGTGTTCATGATGGGCATGAATCTAGTTAATAACTAAACTTGTGTCTGCTATCTTGCCCCCTCACAAGGAGATTGAAGCTGACTCCAGTTAGTTGGTTTCTTTCTCACAAACCATACTTTTAAACTAGGATTAAATCCCTCATTGGGACAGCTAGTCAAAGGCTTCACTCAACAATTTCTGCATATAAGGGGAGGGGGTGTTTCAGCAGAAATCATTAGCCATCATGAGGTTGAGTTCTGATATGTGAACAGAGCCTGGAAGAGAGTGTTTTCCTATGGTCCCTGGTGAGTTCATCTTGGTTAACAGTGCTGTCCACTTTCCTGGAAGTAATTCATTTTATGTGAATGAGGCAACATGTATATTTTCATGTACATACAGGTTTGGTACACATGAACGTGTCCCTCAAAACTGTGTTTTTTTCATGCATACTGAAATTACATGGAAAATATGTATGTTGCCTCATGTTGCCTCATTCACACAAAATGGCAGCCATGCATATCAGGAGAATCACACACAGTGTGTGCTCCCATTGCACAGTTGGAGTCCCACCGCTGAATTACTGAGATGAACTATGAGAAGAGCTTGCAGTGTCCTCTGTTCCCCAGGCAGTGGGAAACTCTGGGCAGTGTTTTTAGCTTTCCAGGATAAAGCGTATATGTTTGGGGTTTTTTTACCTAGAGCAGTCTTGCTCTGAAATTGTTAAATGTTCTTTCCCAAATCCTTTTTGTGCTTCTCTTCTTAAAGCTGGAGAAAGAGCAGGAGAGGAGTAGATGGGTAACAATCCATCTTCACGGACATAACAAAAGTTTTGCAGCCCTGTCCAAAGCCTATTATTTTGTTTGTAATTGTGCCTCTGATTATATACTACTTTAGTCAAACCTCATATTTAGAGCAACTCTTGGTTCTGGCGTACTATTAGTATCCTGACAGCAGTGAGTTAATGGCAGGAAAACGGATGTCGCGCGCACACAACCTTTATCATTATTCTATGTATAACCAGCAAAAGCGCATTTCTTCCTTGCACCTGTGACCTGTCAACCGCCATGCTGTTGTTTACGGTAGTCATAGTGGATCTTCTTTTGAAAGCGCGAATTGTTCTATCAACCAGCTGTTCCACGTTCTGTGCTTACGTGTTCCTCACACAATCCCAGGTGTTAGGGCTCAAAAGCAGAAACAATTGGGAACAGAATATAATTTACAATGGCTTGAACCAACCTCCCTTTTTGTTTGAAGACTGTTTCGAATGAGGCAGTTCTCCTACCACCTCCTTTCATGAAGGCAACTCCTCTCTTTTGCTAACGTAACCCCTGTTTATCCCACCAACCCCAGCTAAGGGAAGAAATTATGGGACCTGGGTTAGTTAATGTGGGGAGGTGGCAAAAAAGAAAGCAGTGGGGCCTCCGGCCCACTGGCCTCTGCTTCCAAACAGGACGGATGGCCAGTAAGCACAAAGGGGGGAAAAGTAATTTCAAAAACGACTCCAGGACCCTCCAATTATAACCATCCACGAGCAAAATTTAAAATACACGTAATCATTCAAAAAGGAGGGGGTAGGGAATCCAAGCAGGACACACATGTATTAAACTCACACTTAGGCCACACAACTTAAAAGTGTAACCAAAACCATGATGAGAGTCTTACGGTCTCTCTGAGGCCTTCTGCAAGTCTCTCACACTCCCTCTGCCGCTGAAGCTCTCTTGAGGCCCCTTTTCAGTCATCACTGCTCTCTGCACCAGGGCCCCAGATAGCTTCTCTCTCCCTTTTCGCCTCAGAACCCCCCCCCCCAATCCCTCTTTCCCCTCAGAAGTCTCTTTTTCTTCCGCACTCTCCTGTGGGTCCCTCTGACAGGACAAAATACCTCCCCCCAAACTCCATACAGTTACACTAGGTATAGAGGTTTAAGTATAGCTTACTCTATATTTGTGGGGCTTAAGTATAGCTTACTCTGTTTTGGGGTAGTGTTTTAACTAGATAATGGGGTGGGGGAACTTTCCCTTGGTCTAAAATTATCACACCAGTAAATCACATAATATAAAAGGTGATCGAGATGTCTTCACTCTTTATTTACACACCAGGAATTGGGAAGAGAATTACCCAACATGTGACTGTCACTGCCATTCTCCTCATCTGATGTAGCAGCTTCAGGAGGTGAAGTGGGAGGTGGTATCAAACCCCTCCATGTAGGGTTACCAGCATCCAAGTGGTGGCCTGGAGATCTCCTGGGATCACAAGAGAGATCCAAGTGACAGAGATCAGTTCACCTGGCGAAAATGGCCAGTTTGGAAGGTGGACTCTGTGGCATTATTTCCCACTGGGGTCCCTCCCCTCCCCACATCCCGTCCTCCTCAGCCTGCAGACCCCCAAAATCTCCAGGTATTTCCCAAGCCAGAGTTGGCAACTCTCCTCCCCCCCCAAGCACCATTTCCCTGTTCATGCATGAGCTACTATAATGTACAAAACAAAATGTGGAAGGCTCTGATCGGGTATCCTCCCCACGTCACAACTGGACTTTCATCAGACCATTCGGACTTTAATCTTCACAGACATTTTCACACATGTATGTTGGTCAAGAAATGACGATGAATGTTAGCTGTCAGGTGATAGTTTGCAAGTGTATAACAGCCATCAGATTAAAATCCGTATGAAGCTGTCCTCTCCACAGAAGTTGCCTCCACTGGCGAGAACCTTGGTCTCACAGACCCCAGTCTACCACTCTAACCATCACATCATGCTGATGTACTTTACAATCTTTATTTTGTTCATCTTTACAAGTTTCACCTTGGTCAACTGAAGTATAAAAGGTTAAGATTTAATACATTTGGTATTTCTTCCCCATAAGTGTAGGAAGACTTCAGAACATTTTAAAGGGGGGGCGGGAAAGTGGCAGTGCTGTACTTGAATAACTCAAAGCTTACCACATCAAGTATCTCTGTGAGCATAACCATTTTTAAGGCCCATACCTCAGTGACATATGTTTCCCTGGTAGAGGGTTCCATCAACTAACTTTTCGCTCTTCACTGTTTTCTAAATCATCCATAGCTTTGGGACAAAACAAAAAAAACTAAGTGCCAAGATGAACATGATATGCTTCCAAGTGTATATCAACCCTAGTATAAACACTGCTATTTTTAAAAAGGATGGCAAGAAATAGGAGTAAAGAAAAAATAGACCACAGACAACCAAATCCAGTGTTTACCGCTTCCCCCAATATCTTTGAAAAAGGCTGATTCACAAAGACATGTACAACATTAAGTATTTTTCACTGAGCATGTAAATGGCTCCAAACACAAACCATGATATGTAGTGAGACATACCTTTTCCATATGATCTAGGTTAAATTCTTTTCTGTGCCTTGTATTGGCTCCCTCCGAGCCAAAATTCACAATGTATGCAATAGTAGTGAGCAACTTGTTCAGGTGAAACTTGTAAAGATGAACAAAATAAAGATTGTAAAGTACATCAGCATGATGTGATGGTTAGAGTGGTAGGCTGGGGTCTGTGAGGCCAAGGTTCAGATCCCCACTTGGCCATAAATCATACTTGGGCCAGTCACTTTTTCTCTCTGTCTCAGCCTAACTTACCTTACTGGCTGGTAGTTGTAAGGATAAAATGGAGGAAGGGGGGATGATATTGTAAACTACTTTAGGTCTTTACGAGGGAGGAAAGCAGAGTATAAACATCTAAATAAAATAAAGTCACTGTACTATAAGTGTAATGCAAGGTCTGCTATGGTTCTCTGAAATGTCTGCATACAATTAATACATTTTTAAATGGTCAGATGGAGGTTTACCAGGTGAAGAAATAAGTTTTTCCTTACTTACGAAGCCCTTTTACTTCTTTCAGTGATGGCCCCAGATCAAGAGAACTTCTGGGGTCACAGGAGTTAATGAAGCCCCTGCAACATGTTCAGTGTTGAGGACCTCCTGATTTCTCATGGATACAAATTATCTAAAACTCCTGCCAGTTCCTATGAGAACAGATGTGATGGATATCAACATGAAGTTGCAGAGAGGAGGCCAGCTCATGGAACACTGAATGGATTACCAACCAACTCTGGAGCCTATGCTTGTGTGAAGAAAACTGCCACGAAAAGCCACCTGAATGACAATGAAAGTAGTTACATCAGCCAAGGGCAGCAGCCTGGTCCTGGTTATCAGAAGGACTTTCGGAGCTTGGCCAATACTCATGCTCCAGAAGGGGGGAGGTAAGTGTTGATTTGCAGACACTGTCTGAAGTCTGTGTTTAGCTCTCCACCATTCTTTTTGTTTGTTTGTTTGTTTTGCTTGTGACCACATTCTGACATCCGCCCTTTCCAACGATACACTGTCCTTTGTCTGAATGCCATCTTTGTATGTAGCTTGAATCAAAATACAAAGAAGAAATCCAGAACAACCTGAAGCATCTCTTAATCAGTTTCCTAACTGTTTAAAATTACCAGTCCGTGATAATTAGCCTGGGACAAACATGGTGTGTATGTGTGTGTAAGTGTAAAGTGTTGTCAAGTCTCAGCTGACCTATTGTGACCCCAGCAAGGGTTTTTTGAGGCCAATGAGAAGCAGTGGTGGTTTGCCATTGCCTTCCTCTGCAGAGTCTTCCTTGGTGGTCTCCCTTCCAAGTAGCAACCCTGCTCGACTTCTGAGATCTGACGAGGTGAGGTTATACCATGCTGCTTTCTCTCCAGGACAAGCGTGATAGTATCTCAATAAAAATATTCTGAGGATATTTCTTGAAGGTTTGACCCTTTCCCAAATTGGGTTTTCTAAGCTGGAGATGTCTGGCATGACGGGCAAGTAGCACCATGGAGGTGAGAAGATACAGGTTGCTGGAATTGGTTGGGGAAGAGAATTGATCAGGCACATAATGACCAGCTGCTAGAGTCATAAACCCTATAGAACTGTGCCTGCTGCCGAAAGCTTTTCATTATTATTTATAACAAGTGGGAACCCACCAGGACTTGCAGGAGGCATCTCATTTCCCCCTCCCCACTATTTCCTCTTCCCCTTTCCTGATCCCTTTCCTGAGAACCCCGTAGTTTCTCCCCTTTTTCTGCTTTCTCTTTATCTAGGGTTGCTAACCTGGAGATATCTTGGAATCAAAATGGATCTCCCAACTACCGAGATCAGTTAGGGTTGTCAGCTCCAAGTTGGGAAATTCCTGGAGATTTGGGTGTGTGTGTGTGTGCTACAGGCATTCTGTTTATCATTTGGGGTTTTTAAAAAGTCCCCTCTTTTTTTTTAGGATTTCAGGGTTCCCCCCCCCAAAAAAACCTAGGGCCCCTTTCAGGTTTGTAGAAAGATCTGCCTTGCCCATTCAGAGCTCCAGTTACCAGGTTTAAGTATCCAAACATTTGGCCGGCTTCACTATTAGTATATAGATAATGCTAGACATCGGAGTATGTCCAGAATTTTTCCAGTGATTGCTTTGTAAATCACACAGTGATGCCTGTGTAAAGTTTTAAAAGATACCAATTTCTTTTTTGGAAGGGGTGGGTGGAGTAACCAACAGTGAAATGCTGCAACTACAAGAGAACATCCCCCCCCCCAAAAAAAAATGATCGGAGGTAGGCTGTATGAGGATATAGTTGTGATGATGATGATGATGATGAAGCAGTGTTAGTTACAGTCTGTTCAGTTCCTGGATCGCAGATATTTTGGGGGATTCCCAGGTATTCTTAGCATCCTAAGGGAAGCACCATAAATAAAATGAAATGGGTTAGGATCATCAAAACCATCCAGAGCCATTGTTGTCAGATCATGAAATGTGTTGCTGCAGTTTTACTGCCCTGCAGCTGATTGTGTGTGCACTCTTGAACTGAAACAATCTGGACAGGAAGTTTTGGGTACTTTCAAAGAGACATGCTCTGTAATCAGGTTCCTGCAACCACCGGTCTGCTAAACATGAGCAAAAGGAAATGACATAGATTGTTTTAGAAGACAATGCTGTGACCACAAGTTGTTCTCGGTTAAATGCAGACACTGCTCCCTACTCTCTTCTTTCCTTGAGCCTCATTCAGTTGTTATGATTTTGGCAGCAGTGTGTAGGATTATCTCCTCTTTTATGCCGTTGGAATGCTCTGTCACGTATGCATGATTGGAAGCCCAGATTTTTTAGGATACATGTTCTTGTCTACCAAAGCTAAAAAATACACGCATTGCTGTGTTCACACAAAATGGCAACCACACCTATCAGGAGGACTGAGGTCATATACTGTCTGGTCATAATGAGTGATTACAGGGCTTTGGTTTCTGTTAGAGAAGTAAAATGCAAGTATACCTGGTACTTGAGAAAGCATTGCAAACTGCCGTATCCTCTACTACCATAGCACAAGTATGTTTAATTTTTGCTATCTGGGGAGGTAGGGAAAATGAAGGTTGAAGGTGGAAAACAAAATATGTAGTAAACAAAAAAAAAGTGTATTATTTGGACAGAAACTCTGTCACAGTCACAATCGGTAAGACCACCAGCTTGTCTGGAAGTTAAACTAAACCTTATATTACTACACTCTTTAGTAATGGATTATCATTAAACACATAAATTTTGCCAAAATGGTTTACATTTAAACAACAAATATCCTTAAAAATATTGTGTATGTCTATAGTACAAGAGGGGTTTTTTTTCAGTACTTCTCCAGATTTCCCAATTTTTCCATGGGAAAATTTAAGAAAGTTCTCAGACTTGATCATGCCATATATTTTGAACATGAAAAACTTAAGAAGAATTTTATTCCTTTTTAAATGGAAGGTAGTTCACAGGCGTTCCTTTTCAGTATTCCCCCTAATTTTCCAAATTTTTCCATTGGACAAATGGTGGGAAAGGCCTCAAGGGAAAAAAAGGAGGAGGGGATTCCCTAATATTTCAGGATCTCCCCCGACCCTCATATCTCTAGTTTCCATATTCCTCTGGTAAGAGGCTTAAAAAACCCAAAAAACTAGGTGGTGATGTAGCGTAGGTTTGATACAAGCCCTTTCCTGGATTGGGATGGTCTTCAAATGGTGAAAGGGCACACTTTCTTCCCTCACATGTGCAGGTAACATCCTGTGTGGTAGGTGCCATTGTGCAAACACCTGCTTGTGCAGACTTATATTGACCCTTCCCATATAATGAGTGTTTCATGCAGTAAATTGGGTGCAGATAAGTACACGCTGGAGCCTCCATCCTGTCAGGTTTCTCATTGCCTATGTAAGTGATTGAACAAAGTCTCAGTGTGTGCATAACTTTGCCTTCCTAGCTTCCTGCACTCTTTAGCTAAGTGGCAAGAAGGATTTTACCACACTTCCAACCAATGTTCCCCCTAAGCTGTGGAGTCTTGTAAGCAAAAATTGTACTTTGTGAGCTACTGGCATTAAAGTTGTGAGCGAGTGATTTGGCTGCTGCATAACCTAGTTTGCTCTGGAGCCATCCTTCCTGAGCTGAGACAAAAATGTGTGAGCTGGAGGCTAAAAAAATGTGAGCTAGCTCACACTAACTCAGCTTAGAGGGAACACTGCTTCCAACCCAACCCCAAAAGGGCTACAGAACAACCAACTCGGGTCACAGTCACATGAACAGAAATATTCATGCGGCCCTAATCCATTATCACTTTTGTTATCACCTGGCCAAACCATGTATTGCTCTTGCATGGCAACTTGACCGTGTCATTTTTAGGTAACGTCTGAGCAGTGCTCCCTCTAAGCTGTGGAGTCTTGTGAGCAAAAATTCAACTTTGTGAGCTGCTGGCATTGAAGCTGTGAGCGAGCGATATGGCTGCTGCAGAAATTAGTTCACTCTGGAGCCATCCTTCCTGAGCGGAGACAAAAATGTGTGAGCCGGAAGCTAAAAAACTGTGAGCTAGCTCACACTACCTCAGCTTAGAGGGAAGACTGCTTCTGACATAAGGGCTGTTTTATACAAAGATAAATCTTCAAAATGTGATTCCTTTGTTCTCTGTGTTTCAGTCAGGAAAGCCCTCCCGTAGTGTGACTGGGTAGGCTGTGCAGAAGGAAGGCATTCCCCTTTCCATGCTGTGTTGTTTGGCCTCCTTGAGCAGGGGATTTCTGTGCTGCCTTCTTCCCAACAATGAAAGTGACACGGAGACACTAGTCTCAAAATGCTGACAGTATTATCCATTTTTTTTCCCATTTTGATGCCCTGGGAGGAAGTAATTTTTAATGCTGGACAGTGTTGTTTGACCAGATTATTTGTTTTAATCTTTTTGATGAAATATAAAGTCCCAGTTTCTTCTGAATGGTTTTACTTGATAGGATGAATCCATGTCCATAAATAGAAATGATTGAATAAGGCACAGAATATGAATTACTGGTAGGGGTGTGTGTGTGTTTCTCTCTTTAGGAGGATAAAGTTCTTAGCTTCCTACCTAGCACTCCATATTCCCTTTGGCATACCAGAAACACTGCTTGTAGACGTCACTTCCTGGAGTCATTTTGTTGGCTGCTGTGCCATGCAAGATCTTGGACTATATAGACCTTTGGTCTGATTGCTCTTCTTATGCGCAGGGCGCAGCAGCAAACTAAACACATGAGGATTGAACAGGATTCTTTTGATCTGCATCCATGTGCTACTTCTGTCAAGGTTGATTTTTCTTCTCTCTCACATGGGGACTTATAATAAACAAAGATGAATTTGCTTGCCATCCAGAGATTTAACTTCTAGAGGGTGTCATTTTACCCAGTATCTACTTCTGTCAAGGTTGATTTTTCTTCTCACATGGGGACTTAATAATAAACAAAGATGTATTTGCTTGCCATCCAGAGATTTACCTTCTAGAGATTCCTTTGGGGGGGGGGGGTCATTTTACCCAGTACGCAGAGGCAAGTGTGGATCTGAGACAAGAGTGTACCATCAGCAGCTTGGGGCAGTCAATCGTGGCCCCAACAGACTTATGGCGACCCCAGTGAGGGACTTTCAAGGCAAGTGAGAGATAAAAGAGGTGATTTGCCATTTCCTTCTTCTGCAGTCTTCCTTGGTGGTCACCTGTCCAAGTACCAACCCTCCTTGCCATCCAATCTGATGAGATGGGTTTATACCATGCTGCCTTCAAGTCTTGTGGTCTTCCCGACAGGGACTCAACAGTGAATTTTGCTGTTGGAAGGAACAAGCTGAGAGTCCCTGCAGCTAGGGGCAAGCGGAATAAACTAGTAGTGGAAAGTGCTATCAAGTTGCTGCCAACTTACGGCCACCCTTGTACTGTTTTCTAGGCGAGAGACAAACATCACCTGCCTTTGCATAGCAGTCCACAGCAATTATTTCATAGTCTCCCATCCAAGTACTATCCAGGGCCATCCCTGCTGAGCTTCCAAAACCTGATGAGATTGGGCCAATATGGGACTTCCAGGTCGAGTCAGGGAAAGAAATCAGTGGGAAATAAACACAACTGAATCTCCCCTTCTGTAATTCTCTGAGGCGTGAGCAGGCATTTTCTTCTTCTCTCTCTCACATCCCTCCCCCTTATCTGACTCTCACCTGCCCTCAATATTCCCTGCTTCCAAGACGATGCTCCGTTCTCAGCAGGTTGCTTTTGATTTTTCTCTTTGGTTATCTATTTTTCTGCATACCCGTGGAATCCCCTGAGTGATGTTAATAATGCTCTGTTCATATGCCTTTGCTACAAAACATTTCTAACACATATGCATTGCATTAAATAAAGTTACTGTATTGTTAATTAAGTACAGCTATAGCCAGAGCTGTTGCATGTCTCCTTATGGGAAGTTCATACGGGTAACTTCTGCTGAGATCTTTGCATGGAAGTAGTGTTAGTGGCTTTGATTTACTATTGACCTCTTATTACTAAGCAGGAAAGAAAATGCATGTGTCTATAAGAACCTATTCAGTGATATCTTTCTTTCCTTCTTTTTTGTAGGTTTTATGACCAACCTCAGCTAGTTTCTTCTTTGCACCCAAAGACAGATAAAGATCTTGCCTACTGGAGAAGAAGAGGCCAAGATTTTAGTTCATTGTTTGGCTATACTGACCGAGGGGACTCTGAAATGAAAGGAATAGCAGCACCCCGTGCCTTATATGGGCATGATAAAGATGGCCAATGGGAGGTAGGAGGAGGGACAGAGAGAATGAGGCGAACTGGCTTGCAGGAGAAATTGAAACCCCATGATGACTACAGATGGCATAGTCTAAGAACAGAAGGCTGGGACTTGCCAACCAAGTTGGGAAGGCTCATGTCTGATGGTGACAGAGAGAGGTTGCTTCAGGAGCCATACTCCGTCAGGCACGGTGGAGAAGCCACCATTGCTTCCCGCAACAAAGGGAAATCTCAGTCTTTGCCAAGAGTTCTTTCACCAGAGAGCCTGAGGTATGTTGAAATGCCCTCCTTGGTGAACAGTCACTCGTCGAGTGGAACGAAAACTGCATCTCGTCCCAAAACCGGGTTGGCCCAGGAAACCTCCAAGCACTCTGAGCCAGCCGCTCTTTTTCTCCCTTTGCCCAAGCCCAAGTACGGCCGACCGCTTAAACCTCCTTCGTATGAACTTCATCGGCAAACCAGGGGGGTGCTGGAAACGAACTTGCTTCAGGATGGCCAACAGAAAGAGGAAGCCCCCTCTTATTTGACCAAAGGTAACGAGCACAGTCAGGACGGCTCTGCTCAAGACCCCAGTCTCGAGCCCCCTGTGTACATCCCTCCCCCATGTTACAAATCTCCGGCTCAGCAAAGTGCGAATCAGCATTTGCCCAGCGAAGTGCCTGAGTATGACGTGTGCTTTAATAACAGGTTGCAGGATCCAACGGAAAGAGCCATCCTTGGTTATCAGCCCTCTGTTAGTAACTTGGGGAATAGAGAACAGTACTGTAAAGACGAACAGATTCCTCATGACAAGAAGAGGCATCGTAAGCTTGTGGAGAGCCACCTTTCCTCGGTCCAGTACATTCCTTTCGATGACCCTCGAATAAGACACATTAAAATAGTGCATGCAGATAGTTCCCAGGAGAGCAAAGTGACTGGAGATGCCAACAGAAAAAGTCCCTGTGCCTTTCAAGAGAGTGCTCTGGAACCTGAGTACAACAGTGCCTTTTTGGGTACGTCAGGCTTACTCGCTAGTACTGCCGTGAAATGCGACCAGGTCTCTGGTGGCTCTGTAAGCAGTAGCAGATGGCTAGCAGAGCCTAACGTAGATCAAGACAATTGTGCCTTACCCATCCAAAGAGACTGTTATGACGCAGGTGATGACACAAGTCACAGATATTCCAAAAGCAGGCTGCTTGCACAAAGCCCCCCTAGAGAACCGCCCCATGAGACGGTTACTAAAGTAAAAACATTTGAACCTGGAACAGAGGTCCAGAGCAAGAGGAGTTCAAAGAAAAAAATGAACGAGACTATATTTTGCTTGGTCTCCGTCCCAGTTAAATCAGAACTCAACCTGCCAGATACTGATAGGAACAACAACTTAACACAGGGTGCCGTTGAGAAGAATGGATTTGATAACAGCGGGGTTCTGCAGGAACAAAGTCTCCTAAGTACCTCTTCCACGGACTTGGAGCTCCAAGCCCTTACAGGAAACATGACCGGTAAGAACGAGCTACAAAAACAAGAGTTGTGGAGACCGGAGTTCAAACAAACGAATGACCTCAGACTCTTGCAGCCTGCAAAGCACAAGGAGCTTCAGTATTCTGGCTCGTGGCCAGGTGACCACTACAAAGACCAGCAAACACAGACCAGCTTCGCAGAAGAACCAAAACACTTGCAGCTTTCCCATGGCTTTGAACCCACTGGACTAACCAAGAGGCCATCTACCCAGGTGTTAAGAAACACAGTATCCGTTACAGAACCCATAATGTTGACTGCGTTACCTGCTGATGACAGAAAATGTTGGCAGAATGCATACAGGGTGAAAAGTGAAGGGTACCTTGACACCTCCAGCAATAAAGTGTGTTCTAGGACTGCAGTAGTTGCCCCAAAGGCATGTCAGAAGAACCCACCTTGTGAGTCATGCTCAGGACTATCTGGGGAGGACAGAGAAACCAGTTCTCTTCTCAGGGAGGAAGCCACTGCCGCCTGCAGTAACAAGGAGCTTTTCGGGCAGTTCCTTCTGAAGCCTGTTGGCCGACGCCCTTGGGACGTGATAAGCGAATTGGAAAGTTTTAACAAGGAGCTTCAAGAGCAGGAAGAAAGTAGTGAAGATGGTGTGGAAAATGAGGACAAGAGGAAGAGAAGCGAGGAGAAGGAAGGAAGTCAAGAGGCTGGGGCCTGTAGAATTGAGGGAATGAGCCGGGACTGCAGACCCGCTGTGCAGTCAGAGACTGATACGCTAGTTGCTCCTGTATTTCAGCAGGTCAGAGAGACAAGCAAAGCTGAACATTTGAGTCAGTCTGAAAGTTCGAGAGCCAGGGTCATAGATAGGGACGTCCGTATTTATGGTAGATCTCAAAGCTGTTCACAGGTAAAAGAGGCCGGTGAATCAGCTAGGCCAGGAAACGGGTATGTCACGGCAGAACCAAGAAAACAGGAAGTTGGGGGAAGGATAATGAACCAGGCAGTTAGTCCCTGCCCAGTTAAAAAAGTTCCGTTGGATGGTCACTACAGTGATGGGAATCATGTCAATCCGTTCAATGGAATCGGCTTCAGGGAAACAGCTCAAGTTAAAAACCACAGAGATGATGTGGTTCATTTTGATGGGATTAGGAATAATACAGTGCCCTGGAATAACCTAGCTTTAGAGAGAGGGTCTGGAGTACGCTTGTCTCTAACAAACAGGAATCATGGTCTGTCCGAGCCAGATTTGAGATCTGTAGGGCTTGGAAATGGCCATGCGCCTGGCACTGTGGAGCTTGGTTATGGGACGCCTGAAGTTGCAGAGATTCCCCCAAATGAGTCACTTCAGGAAAGAGCTGCCAGGATTTTGGGTATAGATGTAGCTGTGGAGTCACTTGTGCCTGATAGCAGTGCTCTTCAGGATGAACATTTTCACTCTGATAATGTTCCTCAGAGCCTTGAATTGTCAGCAGAGAGGGCACTGGGTAGCAAGAGGCAGGCCGAAGCCACCGCTTATGAGGGAAGGAGGAAGTGTGGCTGGACAGAAAGTGCCCTTTTTGTTGGAGACAGAAACGTCCTGTCGGGTTCTGCTGAAGACCAGAAATCTGATCAAGAAGCTGCAGTAGGTAAACACCATTGTGAGTCTCACAGAGGTCTTGATAGGCAAGGAGAAGACCAACTCCCCCTTCCCGAGTCCGTTGTACTTCCATTTTCTGAGAGAAATTTGGTCCTCTCAGGAGTGGAAAAAAAAGCCAGAAGCACTTCAAAGGTGATTGAGACCTTGCAAGGTAAACTGGCATCGCTGCCTAGCCGAGCCGCCATGGATCGCTTGGTGAGGATGAAAGAGGTTGACTCTGTTTCCCGCATGAGGCGTCTGAGCATCAAAAATGCAGATTCTGTTGAAGACGGAGATGAAGATAAACAGACAAGGAAGGTGGAAGAAAGAGGGAGTGGTACCTCCTTTGGTAGTAGCGAAGTAGCCCGCAAGATGTCACATGGAAGCTCTGTTTCCAAGCGCATAATCTCACTGGCTGAAAATGGACTCTCGGACAACATAAGTGACAGGAAGACGGGAAGAGATTTATTTTGTTTAGGTAAGATCTGAATTTCCCCAGGGGGTTGTGTGCTTTAGTGCTTTGATGGGAGATGAGTATCTGCTTCCTCTGGAGGGTCCTTCAAAGGAAAGGTTCTCTCCATCTCCCAAATCTTTCTCCTCTTGGGTACGCTGCAGCTGCTATTAAATCGCAGGGGGGGGGAGAGAAAAAGCAATCATTGTGGTGGCTGGAATTTTCACCCTTGTAAAACCTGGTGCACTGGATTGTAAGAGACTTCCGTGTGTTTATTTGAAGCACTCGTGTTTTGCATGCCACATTGCCATGACTGCACACGCATGCACGCACACACACACCTCTCCTTTGCACAACCTGGAAAGATAAATAGGATTGGCAGTGTTTTATGCAAAAACTGGAAGTTACAGCCCCCTCATGTGGCTGGTTTTAGGGCGTGCGAGAGGGAGGCTAAACCCCTATTGGGGACATCTGGGTGGGGAGCGTGACCCTCCAAGCCCTTACAGGAAACATGACCAATAAGGACGAGCTACAGAACCAAGAGTGAACCTGGTGGCCACTCATAGAGCTGATCAGTACAATGGCTCTGCTGCATGTGACCCTGAAGTTCAGTGGCTGGAAATCCAGATATGTAATTGGGGTGGGGTGAATTGGCTTTGGTCTGGTACTGGGAAGAAGAAGAAGAGGGGGGAGGTGGAGATTATGATGATTGGATTTATACCCCGCCCTTCGCTTGGAGTCTCAGAGCGGCTTACAAACTCCTTTCCCTCCCCCTCCCCACAACAGACACCCCGTGAGGTAGGTGGGGCTGAGAGAGCTCTTTCAAGAACTGCCCTTCAAGGACAGCTCTTCTGTAGGTAAAAGAACCATGGTATAGTAGAACCTAGTTTCCGTTCAAGCTCCAATTTAGCACGAATACCCTTTTTGTTGGCTATATCTATGAACCGAGATAAGTTTTTAAGCTTCCATCTAGTATAAACAAGTTAGGTTCCTTTCCGGGTAAAAACCACCTCTGGTTCAGAAAATTAGAGTATCTTGATATTTTGGGTAGTAAAGATCTGGCATGACGTTTCCAGCATTGTATAGCCGGGTATAATAAGTCAATTGAGCTTACTTTGATAGCAGAGATGGAGTCAAAAGCCCATAGTGTACTATTCAAAGAATCAGGATAAATCAGGTTATCGTATATATTAAAAAAAAAGGATAGCTCTTATCAGAACTATGGCTTGCCCAAGGTCATCCAGCAGCTGCGAGTGAAGGAGTGGGGAATCAAACCTGGTTCTCCCAGATTAGAGTCTGCACATTTAACCACTGCACCAAACTGGCTCTTTCTCCTTGCAGATTTCCCCTAATTGAAAATGCTGCTCCTGACTTGGCTGCTTGTCACTGGAAAGGACTTTTTTTCCAGTTGGGGAAACAGGGCAGTGGAGGAGAGTTTACCCCACACCCCATGCTGTGACCAGACTCCCAGTTGCTTTCTAGAGCTGAATTACACATCTGGTGTGCCTCTGTCCAATGTAGTTTTGCCCTGAGACCACCCCAGTTCTTCAGCCACAAAGTTTACAGTAGCAGCTCTATGAGCAGATCTTTGTGGCAGAATACAGGACTCAGTCCTTAGACAGTGGGATCTTTTTCTATAAAAGTTCTCCCATCCTTCAAAGATGGGCTGCCGGTTGGGGCTTGAGCAGTGGTGAGGGATTTGAATGGCAGAAAGGAGGGAAGATTTCAGAGCAAGGTTCAAAGTCCTGCTACAGAACAGTGTATATTTAAAAGCTATTTACTGTAATTACCTTTTTTTTGTGCCTCAAGAATAGCCAATTACATAGTGGCTTTGGACTCAAAAATCACATCTGAAATACCGGGTGGGAATTCTGCCACCCCCCACCCGGCGTCTTGCCCTCATTGGTGCCTCTTCTTCAAAGAGAGCTGTCATTTACAAAGTAACTTCTAAGTTAACTCTAAGAAGTGCCTATAATTGTAAAATGAGAGAGTTGGCCTCAGAGAAGAGCCATATTCAGGAAACTCTGTGCCTGTTTACATAGCCTGTGGTCTTAAGAATTTGCCAGATCTTCGGAGCTGTTCCTTATCAGCAGACAAGATGCAAATCATGGAACTTAACAGCCCCCTGGTGTTCATGGTTTTTCTCCAGTGGGCAAATCAGGTTTCAGTGTGTCACAAATGACCAAAGAGGGGCCTCTTAAACTGTAAGAGTAGGGTGTTCTTTGTCTGCTACAGAACAGAGTTTGAGTCCAGTGGCGTCATCAGATGAGGTGTGCATGCACAGAAGAGCTTTTACCGAGAATTAAACTTTGTTGGTCTCAAAGGTGCCCCCTAGACTCAAACTTTGTTCTACTGCTACAGACCAACACAGTTACCCACCTGAATTTATCTGCTACGGTTAGACATAATCTTTTGGAACTTTTAGGATTTTATGTAGGTTTTTCCAGTGAGCCTCTATCAGGGCTAAAGTTTGATCCAGTAAAAAAAAAGCCTTGAGTGACGTTGTGTTCTGTGGTTGGCAGGTTCATGTGCCTTCTGAGGTGGTAGTGGAGGAGGAAAGTGCCATCTCAGGCCGCAGCTGGCTTCAGGCAACCCCCGTAAGGTTTTCAAAGCAAGAGACGTTCAGAGGTGATTTACCATTGCCCACCTCTACGTCATGACCCTTGTCTTCAGAGGCAGAGTTGGATTTTTAGTGATTAGTTTCCACATGCAGATGAGAGAATGGATGGGCTCAAGCCAAGGTCCTTGATGTGTCTGTAGGTGGGGCAGGGACTCCTGGTACAGTGGCCTGCGCCGCATACTGTGTGCCTGCTGGCTCCATCTAAAACAGCTTTAGTAGAACCTTCTCCAGCTTTGAGGAAGCTGAACTTCACTCTGACCTTCTCAACCAAGAACAGACTTTCAACAGAAATATAAAGGTTTCTTCCAAAGTACTGAGCTTGTTGCTTAGATACTAACACTGAATCCTACAGAAGGAGAAGGCCAGAATGCACAGCCCATCTACCTTTTGGTCCGTTAAGAATTGGACCCAAGAGCCTTAATGGGTCAGTGGCATTTCTGCATTAGGACTGAAATTCTGTGTGCTATAACTAGAGAGCATTGCATTGCATAGAGGGTGTCCTCTACATAGGAGTCAAGCATGTGAGCCAACCCATGTGCTAAAAGGAAGACATCCCCCACTTTCTGCTCTATGTCTAGGGAAACTCCTTCCCAATCCCGAAGACAAGGTTTAGGACAGATCCTGCTTCACCTAGCCTTCCAAGAGGAAATATAAGTAGAAACATCTCCATCTGCCCATTAACTGTTTTTGCCTCCTGTTCTCTCAGTAAAGCAAGATCCTGGCCATATCCACACAAGATTGTTTGCCACAGCTTGGATAGTATTGCGAAGCAGGATTCTCCCCCCCCCCAACTTTCCCACTAGATCTTGGTACTTTCATGACCCCCCTCCCCCCGTCCAATTCTTCCCTGTCTTTCCTCAGGGCAAGGTTTCGCCAGTGACAGCCTGTCCTACCCTGACTGTGTTAAACAGTTTACATAGTTATCTCAATCCTGCCCCCCCCCCCCCGGTTTCTGTCTTGCAATTGTCTTGCTGAGGATAACTCCCCCATACAACAGAGAAAGAGCTTTCCTTTTCAGGGGCCGGGTTGCATGTTGGCGGGATCACTCCACTGCCAGTTCATGCACAAGGGCACACATGACTGCCCTGCTGTCAGTGGGAGTGCAGAGCCACTTGCAATATGGTGCTCTTGACTTTCAGCATCAATATGTACATGGGCCCTAAAAAGACAGCGTGGGAGGTGGAATGTCAAGCTTGCTGTTTCTACCCATCGGTTGGATCCGAGATCAAAATAACTGTGTAGGTAGTGAGAAGGGAAGAGAAAAGATAACCGAGGTGTTTTCTGCACATGGACAAGCATGCATCGTTTCCCCATCGCTGCTAGGGCTGAAGAGGCAGCATAGAAATATCCTACATAAATAAATACTTTCATCCCTGGCGTGAGACCTGCACCTTAGGGAGGCTTGCAGCTTACCCAACCTCCGGTCCTTGCAGCAGCAGCAGCTGTTTAAAGGTGGGAACCACCTACCGACCGGAAGCCCTGTGGCAGTGGCCTTTCTCAATGTGGTGGTGGGTGCCCCATTTGGGAACAAGTGCTCAGAAGAGCCACTAGTGACATGTCAAAGAGCCACATGGGGCTCTTGAGCCACTGAGTGACTATCACAGAGTTAGGGCCTTAAATAGGTAGGTAGATTAAAGCCCAGAGTTGACACCTGGCCTGCTCGAAGAAGAATTTTATAACATTCTAAAACAATTTATCTATGTATGATCATTAGTAAAGTATTCTCTGAACCCTTTTATATTTTCAGACCCACATGGCAACCAGTGCAGTATTTGGCTGGTGTCTTCAGTCTACTTTCCCCCAAAAGGCTGATCCTTAAAGCTTTCATACACACAAGAAGCACTTGCTTTGGACATGGAAGGCAGCATTTATTAACTGTATTCTGTAATGCATCTGTTAGCTTTTCCCATTTCATTGTACGTCTCAACGTTTCTGTTGGATGAGGGGATTTCTCTGCTTTTCCAGGACCCAATGAGTGATGGGTTTTCACTAACCCCAATGAAGTATGAACTGGATATCCTAGTACAGTATTAACAATATTGAGACCCTTTCTGTGATTGGGTTTATATCCTACCATAGGATGTAACTCATTGGGTATCCTCAGACAAACCATTCAGCCCTGGTGAGCTGCCTGTGAAAGGGGATTATTAATGACCTGTGAGATAGACAGTTGTTGAGAATGAGCACTTGAGCTCTTGACCTGTTAAAAATGCTGTGCAAAGCTGCAGTCCTGTGCCTAGTATCTAATGAACAGTCCCCTGTAAACTGAAAAGAACCTGCATACACACTACCGAGCAAGGAGATGGTAATATAAATCATTTGTGGCTAATAATAATGACCGCCTTTCCTGTTTTCCAGATGCCTATGATCCCACCAGAGTGGAAAGGGTGTGATGTGAAAGACCAGCACAAGAGATTTCCACCCTCCTTGGAGCATTTTGCTGGTTTCCATCATACGGGAATGGCTTTTGCTTGAATGCTCTCGGGTGCACTGACAAAGCCAGAGGACAAATAAGTGCTTCTTATTTCCACTGCTTTATGGAGCTTGCACAGAAGAGAAGGGAGAAAAATGTTTTAAAATCCTCTCGCTTTGGAACCATCTGTCTTTCTTCTCTCCCCCCCCCCCCCCAGGTATTAAGACTTAATGCCTCCACTTGGCATGGACTGGTCATTTTAACAATGTTCAGCCAGGATGGTAAACTGGATTTTGGGGGGGGCGGGTTGACTTATTTCTCTCTGTGTGAAGTGTAAACAGAGGAGATTAGCAAAATGATTTTTGAAAGAATGTGAATTTTCTAAGCTAACCATCTGAACCTCTGAACTCTGAGCTTTGTTTAATACTGGCAGTAAGCAGCATCCAGTGCTGCCGTGCTTTCAGCTCTAGCGAACGCATGCCAGTGGGTAAGATGACGGATTGGAAACTCGACTGGAAAAAGGGCCTTTGATTTAAGCTCCTCGCTTGCCATTCGCAAAGGACGTACAGGCTTTAAGCTCCAGCAGGGAAAAGGCCGTGCCGTCATACTAATTATCATTGGGACAGACACTGCTGTAGAGTTGCCGTTTCAAAACAATCCTGATGCCGTCCTGCCTCCTTTTTTGCACTCAGTAATGTGTTGGTTCTGTGTCCGTCCGTCGTCTCCTCCCCCCCAATTTTCATTTCATAGCTGAAAATTCCTTATGTGACCAAATCGCGCATTTGACACAGCAGAACAGAACAAATCTCTCTTTTTTTGGACAACGGGATCTATTTTTCTACTGTGTAAGCAATTGTTAACCGTTGACCAAGTTGAAAGATGTACCTTGTCTATTTTCTAAGCAACTGCGGCTTTCAGAGAGGCGGAAGGATTCATAGGTGCACCCGCGGGCACATCCCACGTTACCCGCCTGTCAACCACGGCCACTTTTTGTTTTCGTGCAAAAGGAGTGTGCACATGTGCATACGTGTGTGTGTGTGCATATAAATCCCTTTCTCTAAAAACACCTGTGTATTTATGCAGATTTTCGTTTTCTTCGTTGGATCACTGCTTTTCAGGTAGGGACACGGCTGAAAATGATCCGGCGTGGTCTTCCAACCAGAACATTCCACAGACTAGAATTACCAAAAAAAAAAAGCAGGTGTGGATGATCACTTGTGCCCAAAGCTCCTGGAATGGCTTCATTTTGTGGATAGTGCAAATGATGGCTTGCAGCAGTGCAAACTTGTCAAGGGAGCAGGAGGCCCACTTGGTTGGCTCCTTCCCAGTTCTGTCCCATCTCTTGCTACTAGAGCTACACCTGCCTTTCATCGTACAGCACATAGGAGCACATGCCCCTGCTCTCAGCGACTTGATAGCTTTTGGCTGGCATTTTGGTGCTGTGCAGGAGCTGAGGGGCCCTCCAGTCCTGGTTCCCCAGGGTCTTTCCTGCAGCTGAAGCAACCGTGTCCACGTGGAGACTATTAAGCCAGATCTTACAAGCAGCTGCCTTGACTCAGCAGTTTATAGGGATTGGGCTGTCGCTGTTTTGGGTTTTTGTCATATGCTGATTTGTTTTAAGACCAGGATGCCATGTCTGATTCACTCCTGCAACCATACAGAGAAGAAGCCATATTGTCACCTTTTTAAAAAAACACTTTTTCAAAATATTCCAAGTGTGTAGAAGACTGTGTATGTTCTTCTAGGATTTATATCATTTTAACGTGCACCACACTTATTTATATAGATCTTTTAATGTCTATGCTTCTGTGTTTTGTTTGCTAACACCCATCTGAACATCTATTTGTGTCTGCTTATATTGGCTTTTTTATATGTTGGTTCTCTTCTCTAAAGCCATGTTATTATCTGTTAAGCATTTCAAGTTTCCTTTATCTTAAATGTTGCAGCGTTCCCACAATTTGGCCAAATATTAAACTGTCCACCTAATGTGCTTTTGGCAGCCATAACTGCTTATCTGTAACACGTGATTCTGTTACACAGAATCTTTATTAAATATTTAAAGTTTGTTACATGTTTAAATAAAGCTGTATGGCTTGCTTTATTGGAATCTATGTGTTTCCTTTCTTCTATAGTTGCAAGGTGGTCTCTGTCACTCCCATTTGGTTTTTCAGAACTTCAGTATCCTAGAGTCCAAGACCTAGATGGTGTCTGAATCATAGAATGAAGAGAATCACAGAGTTGGAAGGGGCCGAATAGGTCATCTAGTCCACCCGCTGCTCAATGATGGATCCGCCTAGAGCATCCCTGACAAGAGTTTATCCAGCCACTGCTTAAAGACTGCTGGTGAGGGAGAGCTCACCACCTCCCTACGCAGGTGATTCCACTGTTGGACAACTCTTACTATAAAAAATGCTTTTCCTAAGGCCTAGCGGGTACCTTCCTGCCCTTAATTTAAACCCATTATTGTGAGTCCTATCCTCTGCTGCCAAGAGGAACAGCTCCCTGCCCTCCTCTGACAGCCCTCCAAATACCTAAAGAGAGCAATTGTGTCCCCCCCTCAACCTCCTCTTCTCCAGACTGAACATTCCCATTTCCCTCTGCCTTTCCTCATAGGGCTTGGTCTCCAGGCCCCTGATCATCCTTGTTGCTCTCCTCTGCACCCTGCCGATTTTGCCCACATCCTTTTTGAAGTGATAATTAATGACAACTATCTTGTTTTTACTAGCTTGCTTTGTTTTTATATCAGGAGTTTATGATTTTTTAAAGAATTTCATAGCACCGTTTGACTTCCAAGCTGCCTTGAGCAGGACTCTGGAGAAGCGGCATATAAATTTCCTAAAGAAACAGATCAGTATCTTTAACAATGTTGATGATGTTGTAAAATAGTCAAAAGTGTTTAATACTCAGACTATCAATGGATCTTGCTCTATTGGAAAGAAGAGATTTCTTTGCTTTTAAAAACCTTTATTTCTAAGGGTAAAAGGTACACGGGATTACTACAAATTAACATAACACTAACAGCTACATTTTCTAAGCTGCCTATAGTCAATTCCAGCTTTTCAGTGGGGCCATGCCCTTTGGGTGCAGCAGTGCCAGCAGCTTCCTCATGATCTGGCTGGCAGGGCCAAACCTGGGCATGACGATGGCCCGGTGCAGCCAAGAGGCAAAGCAGCAGCCATGGGCTGGCTTGCCCGGAGGGGCTGCCGGTGGGAGAAGCCTTATGGGGCCGACTGGCCCAGGTAGCAGGAGTGGGTCACACAAGGACTGCCATATGAG